CCACTCGCGTTGAAATTAGGGATCTAAGAAGCTTCAATTTTCAAAAAAGAGACATTAACATTATAGAGAGTGTTCTGCATAATTGGATAGACCATTTCCAATGGAAACTTGTACCTCTTAAGTTTTTTTCCGTAAAATCCATTGTTTACGTTTAAAAGTTTAAATACCATGACATTGTTAAGAGCTCGACAGCAACGGACCATAGATAACCCGCCAGTTTGCTCTAATTTTTCAACTATTAGAGATGTTATTATGGAATTAAATCTATTCTCTTGGCTATTTTTCAATAAAAAGCAACTTTAAATTATATTAACTTCCAATGATTCCAACATTGTAATGGTTTTTGGATTTTTAAAATTGCAATAAAAAAATCTCAAGAGATGTGTTTTTTTTTGGACAAAATCTGTCTAAATTTATAAAAGAATCTCTACGACTCAAATAACTTTTTTGACATTTGAGGCTTTTCAGACCACTCCTAATTCCAACGCCACTTTTACATTTCTGTTCAAATTTTACATGTAGGAATCTACTATGATCGAACTGCACCGTACCAAATTCGAGGGCAAAACAGTTTGTGAGTAATTGATCTAAAAATTAGTATTACTTTTAAACCTCGAAGGATCATAGAGTCCTTAAGGTTCCTTTGAGGAAAAAATTATTCCTATTCGTCAGTCCTGAAAGTTTGTTATATTTTGAAATAAATTAGTAGGATATTTGATAATAATTGAATACCGCCTCATGCTATTATCTTTTTCTTTATCCACTAGATAAGTTATTGCATGACATTAATATTTAATCTTAACATAGCGAGAAAGGTCTGATTCCATCAAATGTCCATTGCATAAAAGTTACAATCTCCGCAGGACACACAACTTAGAACAGGTCGATTCTACGCTTTAATTTGATCCTTATGCGGTGAAAAATCCATGCGAGGATATCGGTATGTAGATCTGGTGGTTTCGAGCAGGGTACGTTGGTTTGTTCGACTTGCCAACCGTAAAGCAGCCGTGTAGGACAAGCCATAACAACTGTCCATCCTGATTGACACGTGAGGCATTGATTGACACGGCTGATGGATGCGATTGATCTCCATCAGTGTAGATCACGTTGATAGTCGCTGCCTTTTTAGGATTCGCGGATCGATTGTTTGCTGATCGAACTACTGCGTGCTTACTGTTTCCTTTATTCTGGGAATCACACGAAATTCAGTAGGTATTGAAGTTTTCCATTTTTTTCTTTTAATAATCTCAAAAGACATCTGTGTAAGCGCTATTATCTTTGCTTTGGATTTGGTTTTTGTTAGTTTAACTTTGATCTATGTAAATAGAAGAAAATAGACTTCAATAATCGCTAATACAAAATCAGCATTTCTATAAAATTTATTTGATAATTTTGAAGTTAATTTTTACCGAGAGAGAGAGAGGGATTTTTTAGAGCAAATGTGTATTAATTCACGTTCAGCCAAATACACAAACACTACTAAGTCTGTCAACAAATCAAAATTTATTCGAGAGAAAGAGCAAAAATTTGCTAACATTAGATTAAAAGAAATTATAAAAATATTACATTGTTATTAAAAAATAATTTGATAAAGCCCATTGGAACATGAATTTGCTAAATCTGTAGTCGATTTATTATTATTTTTTTTAGTTAGTACTCGAATAGTGATCAACGACCAATAATTCGTACAGGTAGCCAGTTCAGTCGATATTTTTAACATCCAATATATTTGCAAAACTGTTATTATTCGAGTCCTTGCAGTAAATAACGGCTAAGTGGGAAAATGTTTGACAGGTACTCGTTATCCATTTAAATTGCATATCGCGAAAGGAGAGATCGGCAGCCGACAGTGTCGTATCTTGCACCAAACAGAAAAGCGCATTTCTCAAACGCATTTACATATCTGGCATTTGTGCTCTGATATAATTTATTTTGTTATTTTCTTTGTAATCTCCTTGTGAAATCTGTCAAGCTTGAAAGGAGTACATTCCGCCGGGACGATCATGTGTTTGGTCTGAGTAATCGAATAAAAACAAATTTGACGTTAAGTCTGATTGATACTTGAAACATGACACACAATGATATGGAGACGATGGTAAAGTGGGAGAAAGAAGAACGAGATCAGGTAGAATACGCGCGGTCCGAATGGCATCTCATCGAAGATGACAATAAACCACTTAACTAAAATGATTCTAGTGAATGGACACACGTTTGTTCCATCTGACATTTCGGAAAAAGTCTTTTGTCGCCGTAAAAGCTTTTTGACACAGTCGAGAGGCTTTTTTATGGTGCATAGTGCACGTTTTGTTTATGAAGAGCGGCAACTGATTAGTCCATTGAATTCGGCGCTCTATAAGCGCTTCTTCATTTGGTGTGGCCACTGGAGCGCAATAAAGAACTGTCTCTCCACTCTGGCCTATTCGCCGCTTTGACATTTTTAAAAAGTAAAGTACCCCAATGATCTGAATAAGATTACAAAATAAGCTCATGCAACTTATCTCATCGCATGTATAAAAACATTTACAGACTGTTTTCGAAGTTTAATCACTTCCGTAGTTAGTTATCCAAAGAATCGTTGTTAAATGGATTTCACTTTATTAGATTTAAAACATGACTAGTCAATCATGCACTTGACACGTATCTAAGAAGCCGGATGTTAAATTTGCTGACTGAACTGGTACTTACAGGAAACGTCAAATAGTAATATATATTAAACCGGATTGACTTCGCAAAAGTAAATAAAGCAGGAAAGGTAGAGAGATATCAGGCATTTTAGATTAAATACATGTAGAAGGTTTACCTTTTCCGACAGAAGATGTTAGTTTGAAAGAGGAAATATCTGCATATCTATGATAAAAACAATAAAGACTCAACTTTTCAGGTTACATCTTTATTTAAAAGATAATGTAATAATGCATTGAAAATTATTTTGTATTCAATTATATTGTGTTATAATTATTACATCGGTAGGTGCCCCAGCGGTTGAAATCGTCAATTTTTGCCGAGATTGCGAGTTCGATTCCCGCGACCGGACGACCGTATATCGTCTATACCCGTAGAGAAGTAAGCACCCTCTCTGCAGGTATGGCAGATCGGAGGAAGGTTAGCCTGGCTCATCAATATCAATTGGCATTACATTCCTGTCCTGTATTAATTCGTGGTTAGGGTTTACAAACACAAGCCTTCAACTTCTGAACTAATCCTTGGGATTAGAATAAGGGGGAGAAAAGATTTCCTTGCAGTTTACCATTCTAAAAACTATTCAAATAATGATTACTTTGTTTTATCTTTAAAAAAAAAAAAATGAAAATAAATTCTACTTGCTAACCAAATTGATTGTTTCATCTTTAAGCCATAAATTTCAGAGGATTTTAAATAAAAATGTTTATCTAATGGTGAAACTATAAAACCACTTTGGTCTCCCTTTCTCAAACTAGACAACAGAAAATAATCTGCTAATCCATCATCACCTTTCTTCTTCGATTTTTTTCTATAATTTACCACTGCTGTGGTGGTTACAAAATATAGTCGTTCACTATATGACACCTTGATAGATGTTTCAAAGCTTATGTTTCATTAAATCACACTTTTGATGTAGATGACTTAACTAACGCGTTTGAAACTTTCGAAATTTAAGCTATTTTAGAAAATTTTTGTGATTTGCTAGGGCAATTCGGATTCATGGAAATACATAGGTCAGACAACGATTTTCAGTAGCTGTTCAATCATACCTGGATCATAGAAGCTAATTTATTAATTTTGTATATTTTTAAACCTTTTTTAAAGTTAGGAAAGATTTGTGACCTGATGAGCCAATTCTTCGGATTCAAATTCAGCAGAGAATATCTGACCACTAGTTTCAGCTTCTGATAAATCATATCTGGATTTTAAATGATTTGTCGTATTTGTGTTTTTAAGCATTTTTTGATGCTAGAAAATTCTGGTGATTTGCTGGGACAATTCTGACATCGGATTTGAATTCAGCGGCTGAAAATACATAGGATCATAGGAATAATGTATTCTGGTCATTTGCACAAAACTTTTTTTTGTGGAGCTGTGGAATTAATTCAGCAATTCAGCATAAAGGATCTTTATACTGTTCTCAATGTGAATTTCACTGAAACGTAAATAGCTTCTACTAACTCTGCAAGCAAATAAAGGAAAATATAAACTGAATATGCTGATGAGAATTGTTATTTCTTTAATAATACAACATGAAGAAATAAATGTAATCCTACTTTGCTAGTTTAAGTATTAATGTGTATAAAAACATATTAATTTTACATAGAAAGAAATAATTTAACTTCACTATTCATTTGTTAGTCTTTCTGAACTTGATGAAAACTATAATATGTTCTAAATTGTGAAGAACCTCATGGATATATTCATGAAATTATTTGACAACAGATTTGGTCTATTACACTTCTCCAACTTTATAAATTAACTTGCAATGCAAAACAACCTTTACTTATGATATGAACGCCACGTATGTTTTAAATCAATATTCCTCAACTTATTAGTGAATGTTACGAATTGTAAGTGAATATATCAGTGTGGACCTGGATAAAATTTTCTAGGTATAGCGGATATTCTTATTTCCTTAGCCACCAAAAATAATAGGTTTCATTGCTCTAATCGCTCAGGATAGTCTCAAACATTATTGTTGGTCGTTTGTTGTACCGCAAAAGAATCCCACCCGCGCGACACTCCAACGCATTTATCTTTTAATCAATCAAAGCCGATGGTGATTAGGGGACAATCCGCGTACGTACGGTCGAATTTCGCTTTCCCGGCTCAAGTCGCGACCAGTCCTGCTAGCAGGACAAGCCCAACGGAAAGTGGTCCGTACGACTATAGAATCCCTTATCGCTCCGAGATCGCTATCCAATTAAATCTGACAATAGGTTTAAGTTGGTGACACAAGTAGTAGAGTATACTCGGCGGAAAATCTACAATCTTACGACGATTCCCCGATTTTGATAGAGTGTTTTTGTTTGCAGAGTTTGCAGAGCGCGGCGCGGAGAGCAGGGACCAGCTGCGCCAACTGTAAGACGACGACGACGACCCTCTGGAGGCGCAACCAGAACGGGGAGCCCGTCTGCAACGCTTGCGGACTTTACTATAAATTACATAACGTAAGTATATATTTTCTGTTACGCTTTTGCGTTTACCGGACTTCTCACACATAACATTCGTCTTTTTTACGGGCTATACAATGAAAACAGAATGTATAGTGGTGTCGCGGATATACAGATAATGCACTATTTGGTTACGCTAGATTTAAATCGATAACAAATCCTTGCATTCTTAACAATTAACAAAGAATGCAACCGCAGTATTTTCATTGGTAGTACTGTAATAAAAACAACACTGTAGTAACTATTATGCCTCTGTCTATTTAATATAAGTAAAGAGCATAATCTAAAGCGTAAAACCCATTCCACGTTTTGTATTACTAGGTATATTTTTTCATCAACATATATTACACATAACATTTTGAGCAGCAATACTTTCTTATTTCAGAATGAATGGATTTATTTTCAATTTCTTTCAATATGACGTATTCTATGAGATGTGTATGCTATATGCAACTTTTGTTTTAAGAAAAAACATAAACAAATAAATAAAATAAATAAATAAAACTTAGGAAGAATTTATTTACACTAATTTAAAAGCAAAGAAAATATTAGAAAAAAATGATAATAAGGATAAATGATAGATAAGTACATGGTCAGAATCAAGTAATTCATACAGTCTAATTCAGCAATAGGTATTTTCCTTCGAAAAGTTTTCCACTTTCTAATTTTTGACAACATTTTTTGTTCACAGTAAGGCATGAAATTAGGCTAGAAACAAAAATTATATTTGATAAAACAGATCTAGTGTTCCAAGGAGTAAATGCGAAGGAGGTACTGCTCAAATAGACCAGGCAATAAAGAACGATTTACCCCAAAATATTTAAATTTTCGCGGCCCGGTCCGATTTTAATGCGGTTTTTTGCATTTTGTTCAGAAAGACCGTCGGAAAAAAGTCCCGCCTTTTTTATTATCCGGAAGTGGCGGAAATGCATCGCGGGTGCATAAAGTGCATCTAGAAGTGCATCGCATCCGAGAAACTTGCCAAAGTGCACGAAATACCGCAAAAATTGGTACTCGGGGGTTTTGGGGGGCGCAGAATTCGAATATGCATATATCCAGTCCACCCGACCCCCCGGGGGGCGACTTCCGGCCGCCTGGGGGGCGCGGGGGGCACGTGGATTGCAAGGTTCTCCGAATGACTGGAAAAATGGATCTCGGGGGTTTTCGCGGGTGCTGATTCCGAATTCGAGGGTGAAAAATATCCCCTGTGCTCGTGGAGGTGGAGGGGGGGGGGGGGTATGAAATCTAAAGTTCTCGAAATGACTGGGAAAATGTATCTCGGGGGTTTTCGCGGGTGCTGATTCCGAATCTGAGGGTGAAAAATATCCCCTGTGCTCGTGGAGGGGGCGGGGGGGGTGGGGGGTATGAAATCTAAAGTTCCCGAAATGACTGGAAAAATGGATCTCGGGGGTTTTTGCCGGTGCTGATTCCGAATCTGACCCTGCCAAATGCGTCCGATGACTATTTCTGATTTCACTTACTGCGTATACAATATACATGTATGTGCGCGTCCTCGCTTCATCTGTCTCTTCCTCTTTTCTGGGACCCCTCCCCAAAAATTCCACTGTTATGTATAGGTACCGCCAGACAGCTGCGCGCATCCGTATACCTGAGATTCGAGAGCGTATACAGCGGGAATTTCGAAAAGCAGCATCTCAGAATATTATCGAATTTCGTGCTCTTCTCATTTTTCCCCCGGGGCCTGATTGTCCTAATATATCACTAACATCACACGTTATAATTTTCTATCCCCAAAATACTCTTTATTCCATGTTACCAGTTCATGAATATTATAACCCTCCCCCTACCCCCCACCGCCCCCTCCACGAGCACAGGGGATATTTTTCACCCTCAGATTCGGAATCAGCACCCGCGAAAACCCCCGAGATACATTTTCCCAGTCATTTCGAGAACTTTAGATTTCATACCCCCCCCCCCCCTCCACCTCCACGAGCACAGGGGATATTTTTCACCCTCGAATTCGGAATCAGCACCCGCGAAAACCCCCGAGATCCATTTTTCCAGTCATTCGGAGAACCTTGCAATCCACGTACCCCCCGCGCCCCCCAGGCGGCCGGAAGTCGCCCCCCGGGGGGTCGGGTAGACTGGATATATGCATATTCGAATTCTGCGCCCCCCAAAACCCCCGAGTACCAATTTTTGCGGTATTTCGTGCACTTTGGCAAGTTTCGCGGATGCGTTGCACTTCTAGATGCATTTTATGCACCCGCGATGCATTTCCGTCACTTCCGGATAATAAAAAAGGCGGGACTTTTTTCCGACGGTCTTTCTGAACAAAATGCAAAAAATCGCATTAAAATCGGACCGGGCCGTGGAAATCTAGATATCTTTCTCTTTATTGCCTGGTCTAAAAGTGCAATATAATATTATAAGTACGACCTGGATACCTATATACATATTGTGTACCTTATAATCACTAATACTTTATTTCGACAAGTCACTTATCTGTATTATATATTTTTAGCGTACGGATAATTTAATGCAAATGTCATTGTCGTCACATAGCCATTTTGAAACAGAAAAGTGTGTGAAATAATAATTTCTTTCTGTCAACGCTGTATGAATGATGATTATAATGGAAGTTCTTAGCGGCTCCTTTGATAGCAGCGACTAAAAGGTGCGTGACCTTGGAATCTGCAGTCCCTTTAAATTGACACGGACGTCAATATGTTTTCAAATGTTTTGCCATATGGTGACAATTGTTCATAATAGCAAGTATTTTTAAATTGAAATTGGTTATAAGCAATCATCTTTTTCATTGCTAATTAAATGATGCAACTAATTCTTCCCCTATTAGACTTTGTTTACATTACGATGGAATTGTTAAGATAAACTACTGCACTAGAGCTTATTGATAAGTAGAATGTCCAGCTTTAAATAATAAAACAGATAACAGTGCGAAGTTAATAATTTATTTGCCTTTAATTCATAATATAATCATTTAGTATTAGTGATACACATTTCTATTATTTGTCTCTTTTTCCATTCCGTCGATGAAGACAGTTTCTGTTTTTTTCTGTATGTATTGGAGGAAAATAGATGGCCTTTTAACATTTCTCTTAATTTTGTAAATAATCAAAGGTTCAATGGAGATAAGTAGGGTAGTAAGGAAGATGTGGCAGCTCACTCCTTCCCATTTTTTATTGACTCCAGACCTTTCTTACAGTCTTCCGGATCTTAACTCTGTGAATGTGCCTCCTCCTGCTGTAAGCAGTCGGATCAATACCAACTAAAAACCGCAATCTCTAAATTAAAATAAACATAAACAAAACATTTCAACTTCATTCTGGTAGTTGGACCAACTTGGCCTATTATGTCTTTGTAACTTTTAGTTCATTTACCATACATAATTGACTATTAAATTTATTTAAATGCTGCTCTAATCGAACAACCATCTTTAGTAAATTTATTAACGAAAATTTTATCAAATAGTTAGATGCCAAAAGATACCATTTTTTATATTATCTATTAACGACCGATCTTATGATAAAGGTGTTTTTGTAGTTTCAAGATTTTCGAATTTGGTACCGAATCATTAATTAATAATAATTTATTATGACCGGTAGTTCATTTAATAAAATTGTAGTTTTGTCTACTATAGCCTCTATGTCTCCTGTGTACAGGGCATCGCCATTTTCTGGCATTCAAAATAAGATTTTAACAATTTAACTAAGCGTATTTCTTCCAGAAGTGTATCGTTTAATTGCTAGAAGAGAAAGAGAAACATTTTAGTTTTTCCCAAATAGGTAAATGCATATAAAAAAAAACTATTTTTGTTTCTTCACTTCGACACCTCCTAGCGGTCGATTAGTAAATTTAGTTGAATCATTAAAATTACTTTAATCCTAAGAAACTGTAGTACTTCTATAAATACCAAATCGGAATGCCTTTTTTCAAAATTCGCGAAAGTGGTATGTAGGAGACATTTAGTATTATATTAAGATTACGCCAAATTATGTAAGGTTAGATTAGATTACGGAAAAAAAACTTGGTTCGACATCTGCACCTATTTTTTAAACACTTTTGGTCATGGTGTTGCTCTGGAAAAATGTCAAATCGCTTAATGGTCCGAAATGCAATTGGGAGTAAAAATAATTTCTATACTTGTGATTTTTCTACAGAGAATATAAAAATTATGGAAAAAGACTTGCAAAATTCGTATATAACAAAGTTCGAAAGATTGAACTAAAATTCTTGGGAGATTGCAACAAGTTAACCGTGATATTAATACTAAGGCACTTCGTGTTAAGGACAACGAAAAAGCTGACGAATTAGCTATGAAAGCTTCAACTTCTTATCCGGAACCTGTCCTGGAAGTATAACACAACTTATCCAAGTATCAATATGATAAGACTTTCATCAGGAAACCATAATAAAGAAGATTTAAGAACTGCTGCTATTAAACATAAATCAGTCATATTTGATGACAAGTCATTGCGGTCTGAGAGCACACCTGAATTTCTGTTTTAATTCTTTGAGCAATAGAAACAGCCTGTTAACATATGCGAATATAAAGCTTTAGACCAGAGAAGACAGGTTTCTTAAGGACAAATAAAATTAAATCATGCAGAATACAGCACCTAACCCAGTACAAGGGACCAGTGAGTGTATTGGAATGAGTTCTAAAATAAAACGGGAAATTCTGTAAAATAAGCCACAAGACTGCGGTACTTCCGGAGACATGATCAGATGCTCTTATAAAAAAAGAGTAGTGTGCACTTATTTAAAAATATTTCTTAATGTTTTTCTATATTTCATATTTTCTTAACATACACCACATAATTATTATACTAATTTATACCGGTTGCTGCAAGATTTATTTATTCGTACCCATATTCCTATTTGGGATTTAGTCTATTTTGCGATACACTTCAAAATTCCTCTACAACTTAAAATCGGATTTATTTTTGTATATTTAAAATGAAGTGGTGTTAATACTCAGTTTTAGCCTCTGTTTCTAAAGTCAGTAAGTACGT